GTATACCAGGAAGTCAAATCTGCAATCAGCTTTATTGTAAGCAACCCTTGAAAGAGGGAGCCATGGTCAGCTTTGAAAGTGGACGAGCGCTTTTTACACTGGCCACTACTCAGCCTACTTCTGAAATGCCTTCACCTCACACCGGACGAGTGTGGGTAACATCACTAACAAAGAATAGCCACATCGAACAAACCTGGTTCTCGGCATATCAGTTTTCAGTTTTTTCCCGCTGCTTCCTCGGTCCGTTTTTATGCTTATCAGGCTGAATTCGATGCTTCATTAAATTTCTCGGCTTTAATTTATTATATTTTTTCAACATTTTCTCACGATAAATTACTACAGGGCATATCACGTATTTCAGCATCCTCTTCACAGGCGGAAATACGCTCACGAAGTGAAGCGCTTCGAACTCGTCGAAATGTTGTAAAAATGTTGGTCGCATGTGTGTCTATTTATTTTATATGCTATTCACCAATTCAGGGCATTTTTTTATCCAAGTAAATTTTTACTACGGTTTCTTTGTAAGCAAACTATCCAGAAATACTCCTCTACCTTTAATCTTGAGCCTGTTTCTCCTGGGCTAAGAAATTGCTTTAAACAACCAAATTCCCGGTTATCAGTTCTTGGCAGTTTAATAAAAAAATGTTGCCCGCGCAGTTTCATATTGCACGCATGCGTATACAGTACAGATCAAATTTTGATCTACTACTGATCCACTTTTGATCTGCGGCTGATCTACTTCATTGACCTGATTTATCCATGTAATTGCCAACAAGCTAAAATTTATTTATTGCAGGGCATTATTTGGCATCCATGTGAGCACGCCGTATGAATTCATCCTGCTGATGAACGCACTGGCGATGATGTGTAGTGCGTGCAATCCACTTCTCTATACGTTATTTTCGAAGAAATTTCGGGCACGTATTACGCGGATACTGCCATTGGCTGAATGCCAGCGCTATTGCTGCTGCTGCTTCTCGGATCGGCGTGTCAAGCACAACACTTCATACAAGGTAACTGGTGGAAATACGGGACGAAAAGCAGCAAATCGAAGCAATGCAACAACATCCAGGAAGTGTAATACCGGGAGACATGCAAAACCGGATAGACGATGCCTGACAGTGGCTAGTACCACATGGACAAATCATGATGACCTGGAAGAGGATGATGAAAGTCTGCATACGTTGAGCTATAAATCGTCCTATATCAGTAGTTATATTTTTTAGATGTAACTACTCATATGATACAAAAATATGCTTGCACCTATGTAGATATTTGCTCGTTGTTGTTGTGTGTGTTGTGTAATATACCAAGAATACCAAGACCGCCCGGACAATCGGTATGATTGCTTCTCATGTTAGTGATGTGACCACACATCGGACGCAACTACGTCAAACCCATCGATCCTGGGCTGCTACATTCATTCATTTAGTACCCAGTGCTTGTTCGTTAGATGTGTGCCACCTCTTTTTTCTTAGCATTGAAGTATTAGGAAAATTTCGTTTCGGAAAAGATTTATTAATTCATAAGAACATTTCATACACATACGCAATAAAGTTCCTGTGAAAAGGTTTTTTTTTCAGGCGCCGGTATGCGTGCCTGAGAAAATGCCTTAAAAGGTTCCCAGACTTAACCAGCTAGTTTATTAATTAGTTAGAATTTTAATCAGCTGCAAACTGCTCCAAAAAATTAAATATCTCAAAATTTCAACACAAATCCAGTTGAATTAGGTGCACCGAGAATATTTTCAGGAAAAGAGGCTTGTCAAGAATTTGTGGCATTTTCTGAAGTGGTGAAACAAGTTGAGTATACAAATTTGATCAAGAGACAGGCCAGAATAAAAAACTCTACACCACAAATGCCTCTCGTCTAGCTGAACACAGATGTAGGAATGCACTTGAGGAGCCCTTTCATAGAGTGATAAAGAACGGTGACAGTCTATGAGTATTAAAAATTAAGAAATTAAGAGCTAATTTGAATGGTGAGAGGAAAGCACTAATTATACGCGTAATTTGCAAGAAAATTATTATAGAGTGGGAGAGGGAGAGAAAACACCTGAAGAGGAATGTTCCTTCCCACAATGATACGAAAATTCAGGGATGCACCTCAGATTTCTCTTGCTCACTGAAAAGTAGATGTAAGAATGCACCTTCAATCCCTTTTGTTCAGTGAAATGTAAATACGGGAATGCACCTAGCGCCGATACGACGAGAATGCACCTCATATCACTTTCGTTCATTGAAATGTAACTGCTGCAGGAATGCACCTCAGTGATTTCCATCGTCCAGTGATAACGCACCTCAAATCCCTCTCGTAAGTGAAGGAATGCACCGCAAATTCCCTCTTATCCAGTAAAACGTTGATGCTGTTATGCACCG